TGTTTCACACAAACCCCTTTTACCTAATACTTAATTCAAAATTTATAATTTTGAATTAATTTTAATTAATTTTATATAGTTTTATTAATTTTAATGTATAGTTTTATATTTTTTTCAGATAGCAGAAGACTTAAAAAACCTTACATAAGCAATGCAATACAAAAATCAAAAACAAATTCTCAAGACCAACAGGTTAGTTCAAAGTATGAATATTAATAATTTTTTTTACAAAATCGTTGCCCACCGAAGTCTTCTCAGGTACTTTATTAACGAGGAGTATTACTAGTACCGGTCTCTTTTTTCTTTTACCATATTTATTTTTTTAACTAAATATTTTTCCTAATCAAAATTTTAATGAGACAATTCAACAAGATGTGTAACAAAAGATGAAATATCCAAGAAAAAGTATTATAAATCACACTTTAGTAGATATTTCACCATTCAGCCTTTAACACCTCCCACTTCATCCATGCAATAACAATGGGGATTAAAAGTATCATGTAATTCCTCACTTTATGACTTAGGGACTAAATAAGTTTTTATAACCTGTCACATGGTGTATTTTTAATGTTTGTAACTCCTACCACCCACTCAACCTATATATCATACTAGTATTTTTGCAAATGATATGATGAAAAAAACAGAATAAATTTATTACAATTCTTTATATTGCCTCTCTATATCTCTCTAATTCCTTCTTCTACTTCTTGTTTACTTATTTCTTTCTGATTTTACAAGATATAAGATTAGGATTATAAGTTAAAACTGATATGGCCAATGACACTACTTTAACAAAGTTTCTCAAAATGGTTAATGCATGGATTGATAAACAAAAAAATATCACTTCATTCAACCAAACATGACCCAAGGATTTCTGAAAAATTAAAATCCATTAGACGACTGCTTACTACAGTCTTGCTAGGAAAGCCTACAACCAGAATTTGTTGTTCAAACAATCCTTTATATGTATCAATATATTCATGCTATCTATAGCATTCTGTATTACAAAACTCCCAACAAAAATGCTTAACTAAGTCGGCCCCCACAAGATTCATTCATCCATTCCTTGCTATTTATATTTTCTATTACTAACCAAATGGCGAAAAATCAAACATAAGAACATACTCAATAAAGCACACATTCTAAAACATCATGACAACATAATTTAGTATAAAAATGACAACCATACTATAATCTAGAAGCCAATGGAAAATCATGCATTTTGAGGTGCATATGTAATTTAGTTTAACTTCCTTCTTTAGGAACAGAGAACAAACAAAAACAGGGAGGTACTGAAGCTCACAATGTTGTATGCAGAGAGAGTTATAGATAAAAATGTTGTGATTAAGGCAGTTTCAGGAACCTTTCTTAAGAATAATAGTTTCTGCTTCTCTACAGGAAATGCTATCCCCAAGATACAATGTCCACTAAAAGAACTTTAATCACCCAAACCATTATGCTAAAACTTGAAGGCAAAGTGTAAAAATTCAAAGAAGAAAGCAATGAAAAATTAAAAATACCAAGAACAAGAAGCACCGTTCGTGGAGTTATTTTATTATGCATAAACCCAAATGGGTGCCTGTTATACCAATTCAGAACAGATACAACTCTTCAAAGGGTTCAGTTTTTCTGTATATGATGTTTATACTAGAATCTTTAAAAACATCTCTGCATCATTTGAGACAGCTGCTTTTGTCCATCTCTTGAAAATATTTTCAAAGAACTAGTGATACTATTTCTAAACCGTTTTCAACTGCACATTTTCTATCCCATATTTTCTCTTTCTTCCTTGTTTTTGACATTGCCTCATCCCTTGAGTACCGTACCCCATATACATGCTCCCTAAAAAGTAATGCATAATATATAATATAGAATATAATATTTTTGCAGATTAACTAAATGCATATGATATATGATATTATTAAAAAATACTTGATTATATAACACAAATTATTGAAGTTATTTACCAAAAAAATAAATAAAACATCAAAAGTTTCTCAGCATTGCAAGAAAACACACACCGCTCCTCAGATCACAAATCAAGTAAGAAGACAACGAACTACATGACATGAAAATCAACAGTTGTCCATACTTCACTTTTTTTTTTTTGGGCGTACCATATTTTGACCATAATTTTAAATCTTCTGGCACTTTTAAAAAAACAGTCAAAAAGTTCTTTTTTTTTTTTTGTAGTATTTTCGTAATCACAATAATATGTTACAGAAACACATATGGCTAAACAAGTATTTTATTTAAAATTACAAAATATATAAAAGTCAAAAATCACAATCGTATTTAACAGAACTCAAATAATTAATTGCTCTTTACTAACTTCTTGTACATGTAATCTAGTTACTAATTTTTTTCATATGTAATAATAATTTAAATGTTAGTGACTAAAATTTTTATATATAATAGTAAATTTTCTTGAATTTATTAAAATATTGTGTTTGATTTAAGCATTTATAGAGAAGAGATGCCCATTATTGGAATGGTTAGGAACAATAGGAAAATTTGTTCCACCAAAATTCCCCACGAGGACTTGAGGTCCAGTAGTTTGAGGGAGCTGAAGCCAGGAACAATATTATTCTCCCTCTTGCCACCCCCCTAGTCATCCCTAGTCATGGAAAGCACAGTGCAAGAGCTAAAAATTGTAAAAATATGGTGAAATTTCTAAATCTCAAATCTTCTTCCCCATCTTCACCATTTCATCTGTAAAGATAAAGAGTAAACGCAGAGATGGTAATAATTTCTAAAATTTGTAATAATAATTTTCAAAGGAAATTTTGATACACATCATGAATAGATGTTGTCAAAAACATTGAGTAATAAATCTTATTCCCCATTTCATTTGTCTTGAAGTATTTCAAGGAAATTTTGATAAATCATGAATAGATATTACCAAAACCATAACGAGAAATAAGAACCCAAGTAGATTAATAGAAGAACTTCATAATCGCTAACACTGAGAATAACTTCTTCACCTAAAATATCAAGAGAAGTCAGCGGTTACTTAGATGTCAGATCAACAAAACACTAAATGAATCAATCTCCAAGGTTAGGCAAAATGTACCTTGGATTGAGGCAAGCTTGGATATTTCATCAGAATCAAATAGTAAATACATTCGCGCTGCACCATCATTAGAGCATTCCCTATTCATTCCACAACTGGAGGTGTTTGCAGTTTCACGACCACCATCATCACCTCTTCCGCAAAATTCCCTCTATTTCATAATTTTTCTTCATCACTTTCCAAACCCTTTAAACACTTTCATAATTTTTCAGAAACCTAACATTCTGACGGTGGCTTTTATGAAAAACACTTAATATTTAATATAATTACAAAATTACCAATTAAAACCCAATTTCGTATAATTTAATTATATCATAATTTATAATATTTCCAAAATGATAACAAATCTAAAAAACCTAAATTATTAGAAAATAGTAAATATTATCTATTTTAATAATTATATATCTTACAATTTTTTTAAATTTTAATTAATAATTAATAAAATCTATTATATTTCATCTATAATACATTTAATAAATAAATAACCAAACACCAACCACAGCTACAGCACAGTTCAACAGTCACAACTTCAGTCATGGTTACCACAGCACTTCACAGCAATTCTAAACACACCCTTGTTTATAACAGATAACACCTAACAATTAAAAAATGTTCTTTTTTTTTCTTAATATCCCCTTCAAGACCTTCATCCATTATAGCATTTCCAATAAAAACCTCACTCTGTTCAGCTAGTTATTCCTCTTAGCTCGTATCAACTCATCTGGATCAATTAAATACATTACAATTCAAAATAAAGTAAAACTGACCTGGGGTTTATAAAAACAATTGCGGCTATTCATGAGATTTGGTAGTCCCCTTTTAAAAGGTGCATCTATCCCAACTGATGATGTTGTAAATTTATGCCTCTGTATATAAGTTATAATTATAACATAATAGAAACCGATCAAGTTATCCATGTAGGAAGGATAAACCAAAGAAAAAGCTTTCAAACAAAAGACAATCAAATCAAACATACCTATGATTGTGGCAAAACATATAAAAATTTGAGACTTCCCGTGCTCAAAGATTACATATCCAAATAATACAGCCTCGACAAAGTTCTTTGCCTGACCTTTTGCAAATTTAACTTTATTCTCATCTGTGATGTAAACTTCTCTAAAAACAGACGCATTTACTTACCATGATTTTGCATTATGAATGTGAATCACGCACGAAAAAAGTTTATATTTAGTGACTGTCTATGCTTATAGGAAGTGGGGGAAAATGTAAAAAATAAAAATAAAACTCCCACTCCAAATCTTGATAAATGGTACTAGTTCTAAATAAGAAATTGCTTTTAGCAAATTTTATGAACAGACATCAGAGATAAAAATTTTATGAAAGTAAAAAAAACGCTAAAAACTAAAATTTCCATAACAAAATATGAATCATGCCATGCTGGTTGAAAGGGGATAGTATTTGGCTTGATTTTTTTCTATTGATCTGTTTGATGGCGTTTACATCACAGATGAAAATAAAGTCAAATTTGAAGATCAAAAGATGATGACGATAGCATTGGAAAGGGCTTTCATACCTAACAAAATTGAAAATTTGCAGAAACAGGGCTTTGATACCTAACAAA